AGGAGGACAGTCCTCGTTTTTGATATCTGTCCTCGCGTCCTCTGAGATTTTCGAAATTAAATGAAATGTCCTCGTTTTTACCGGTTGAATAAATTTCAAAAATTAATTTAAAAAACACGAAAATAGGAGAGAAAATAAGAGACTAAATTGAATTTTTTTTTTCAAAATAATTAGCTTATCATTTTTCTTCAAATTTAACAGCTGGTAATTCTTTTCTGCCCTTGAAAATAAGCACATGATTTTTTCTGCGATTATTTGAGTATTATTTATTTGACAAAAAAAAATTGCAAAAATTCTCTTGTTCTTTATGGCAATTCTTTTTTGGGCCATTCGCAATAACAAAGACAGTGTAAGCACTAAGCAGCAAGAATAAAAGTAAAAATATATCCATTCGATAATCAAAACAGTCGATAAAATGTTGTTGAAACATATCGAAAAACTTGTGACAGTTCTTTCTAAAAAGTGAATGATAATAATTAATATTCAGTACCCCACCCTATTATTCATGAAATTCCAAAAATTGAAAACGTTCCCCTTTTTTTTCTTAATCGAGAAAACTTCCTCGTTTTTCGTGATAAAAATCTGTGCACATTAATCATAGCGTATGTATGGCATCTCCGCTGTGCACTGGATTTCTCCGCAAATGTTTCATTTGCGTTTACTTTTATATTTTTGACTAATTCATTCGTTAATAGGTCGTGGTTAAAAGGAAAGATAATTTTATTTCAATCAACAATAATCAATTACAATCTCTGACTGGGTCCAAATCATTTTGAGTGGTACTTTTTATCACTTTCATCTCTTTATCTTTGTTTGATTTTGAAGTAGTTTCGGGTTGATTCCAACTTTGCAATGTCGAATCTGCAAACAAAACGTATACTGCACCACAGAACAGTAGAACAGCTGCGCAAATCAAAAATACATATTGCCATTGTTGAATCGATTGCTAGAATCCAGGAAAATAGGGAGAGAAATAAGCGGATTAGTTTAAAACGTAAATAACGCATTGATCAATGATCATTGCGAGATCTATAGTAAAATTCGGTGCTTTTACATTTCCATGGGTCAATCTTCCAACAATCCAGGGTGAAATAAATCCAGGCGAAACGCAAAACACCCCATTCAATCCAAGCGTTATGCCAGAGAAATTTGGACTATAAAACGAATGAATGTGATAAAACATCTGACAAAAATGAATAAAGATGATTTAAATCCAGAATACCTGATGTCAATGAGACTGGCAAGTGGTCCGGCTGATACAGCGCCATGTAATGAAGTGGACAATGTAAGGAATACAACGGCTGCTGTTGAGCTACAGCCAGAATATGCTAGGGCAAGAACAAAAAGCCCATTGAAAATGGTTGCTACGCCGCCCGCCAATTTTCGCACATTTGTTCGCGACATGACCTGTTTCCTTAACAATGAATCAACGAATATTGAGAAGAAATACGCAAACACCATACGGCACAAATGAGGAATGCCACTTAATATGCCGGTCATTTGGACACCCCAACCGTGTATAACACGGAAATAAGTTGGCGCCTGCGTCATCCTTTTGATTTATGAAACCATCAACATATGGAAAATACGTTAATTGTGTGTAATATTCGTAATTGAGGTCAAAACGAGAGTCGATTTACATTGTAAACAGTCCCCATAATCCACCAAATTGTCCACAGATATTCACCCAAACCGCACTTGATCGAAGTATCGACTTCCATGGTGTTTTTTGCTGGAATATGAAAATTCTTGAGCATTTTTTTTCGATTAAATTTTATGAGTAAAAAAAAACATACGTCACCCGCGTGAAAGGAACCACCCAAAGACTTTTCAATATAATCCCGTTCTGCTGGATCAATTCTCGGATGTTGATCCGGTGAGTCGTAGACAAAGTAAAGCCAAGCCACATACCAAACGCTACCAAAAATTCCGCTCAGATAAAATACGGACTCCCATGACCAAATGCTCAGTATAAATCCAAATGCAGGATAGAAAAATGCGATTGCAACCGAACTTCCCAAATACGATGTAATAAATGTGCTGCGTTCATCGGGCGGAATCCATTGAGAAGCTAAATGATGCATTGCAGGCCAGGCTAAGCCCTACAAATAAGGATTGAAAAAAATAGTGTTGTTTTCTAAATTCAAATTTTCAAAGCTTCTACCGAGATTATGCCTTGAGCTACTCTGATTGCAATCAATAGGTTAACATGGAATTTGGCAGCCATTGGAATGAAGAAGCACAGAAAGCATGACACAAAATTTGACAAACCGAAAATTGCCTTGGTTCCATAACAAGATGCTAATATCCCGCCAACAATCTGAAGCGTCCTGCCGATAAAATCGAATAGTTTGTGCTCTTTTTCTGAAGAATTGAATCAATTTCAATGAATTTAAATAAATTTTTACCAGTGAAGCCAGAAAAATGAGCCCAGTACACGGCTTTGATCCAACTCATCCCATTCAAATTTGGTTGAATAATCAACTGGAAACTTTTAAACAATCATTAGAATATTTCAATCAATCATGAGAATATGAAGAGCACATACATCATACACTTGCACTGCGGATGAGTTGATTGTTTGATTGAATGCCACCACACATTCCGATGGATGGTAACTCGATGTAGCTGATGTCTTTTTGGCAACCATTTCAACGATGGCAATATTTACATTCAATCGATAGATGTAATTCACCATAAAACCTACAAACGACATATACCACAAAATCGTCCGGCATTTTATCGTAGAAGTCTTCTCGAATGATTTCAGCGATGTTATTGATCCAATCGTCGATGAAATGAGATTGATCTTTTTTGGTGAACTTTCAACGGTTTTTTGGTAAACAGGTGAATGAGGCACCAAATGTTGTTCATCTTCGTTTTCCGATTTCATATTGTGATCCGCAACGATCGTCTTAGTATTTTGTAGCAAGCCTTTCTCATCGTCAATGCGTTCCGTCTCATCAGTTGGTTGCGCATCAATCTCGATATTTTCACTCTCATCGGTTGGAACACTTATCACTATTTCTACAAAAAGACGGCAAAAATGCACAAATAGAGAAAAAAAGTTTATCCATTTCATTACCTTTTTCCATCTTGATAAATTCGCACCATCAGTCAGTCACAATGATTTGTGTTGTCTTCGACTGTTGACTGAATTTCGTAACCGATTCTATAAAGTTCTCTGGCCCAGTCTACTTCCTTTTGATTTATGAAATCTGTGGAAAAATACGTTAATTCTTTGGATTCTTCATAATTGAAATCAAAACAAGAGTAGATGATATTTTGTGATAAAACATTCTATCAAAATAAATATACTTCCCATTTAGCTGTATTGCCATTTGATAAGTGATAAAATTCTTCAACAAGATTAGATTCAGTTTATTGCTGTTTTCCCATTTTCATCGTTTTGCAATGAAGCGTCATTTCATCTCTATTCGAATTCAATAGCAAGAGCATTTGTTGCGTTTCAAGAGCGCCGTTTTATCAGTTTACCTAATAAATCTGATCACTAAATCACCGCCATGGTATGTCATGATAAAAAAATTGCAAGCCTCCAAAAACCCACACATCGACTAATAAGTTAACACATCAAGATTTGTTGGATGAAATGTACTTTATTTGGTGATTTTTTTTATCTTATCACAGAAGAATCAACATAAGCAATTAATTCAAATAAATCATTGAGGCAAATTTTGTTTATTCCAAAGGGTAAATGCTCTCATGTAGCTACTGAGCTATTGAATGTGATATTATCATTTCAAAGATATGACAATGCTCGTCATCGCCAGTGGGTATAATCCTTCTAATGTCGAGAGATCATCTGCAATAGAAATTTTCAATTTGTGAATATTTAAAGCAAAAATCACACTTTAAGATTCAAATCAATGCATTCCAGAATGTCTGTTCCAAACATTCAGAACGAAATCTTCGCATGCGCTAACTTCTATGATGCACCAAAGTTTGAATGCAAAAAATTCACCTGCGTGTATGGGTTAGCGCGCACACCACATCGCTCACACTCACGATTAGCATTCGGCTGACGCAACTGATAATTCCATTCATGACTGCAGTTTGAGCACCGATATCTTGCCTCATACGTTACGACGTTGTCATTGATGGTTTGCTGTTGAACCAAAAAAAACGGGAAATGATAAGAACGAATTAATTTATTCAATAATCTTTGTTGTGAATGAAATTTTACATTGAAAAATTTCGTCAACAAAGATAAAATGATCACTATGAAAACGTTACTCCTAGATTTAACTCACAATTGAATAAGGATTGACGTTTTTGGTGCAACATTTACAACTTTGAATCCCCGCGGATTGCGTTGAAGGAACCTTCCATTGCACCTTGCAATCGTAGCAGAAGTAGAACGAATAAGTTGAACTCATCTTTCCGGAATCGACTTTGTAAATGATCTCGATGGAAAAACAAATATGATTCACTTGTATATCAGCCAAGTATAAGTTGGCCGAGTCAGAAGAATGCGCAGACTCAACGGTTTCTTGTTTCAACTCAATGTTTATGCCTCGGTATTTATTGTAAACAAATAATAGCAAATATGCACTCAGCTCCGATCTCTAAAAAATGAAACGCTCTTGAAAGTTCGTTGTACTTCATACTCTTATAATCAAAACCGTTTGTTATTTATTTGAGACTTGCGATTATTCAGAAAATATTTTTAAACAAATCATCGACACAAAATGACTTTGTTGCTATACGAACATTTTACTGTTCCTCATTAGTTGGGCTGTAATTGGTTTTGACATGAAAATTAATTGGGATTCAAAGTGTATGATTTTGAACTCAATGGAACTAACAAATAAAAGTAAACCGGGTTCACTGAAAACTTTCAAGTTTATTTCTTCTGTTGAATATGTTTTCATTGAAGACAGATTAACTGCAGAGCAAACAAATTTCATTTTATGATACAAACCTTAAGTCTCAGAATGTAAATTTCCCTTCCTAAAAAACTGTGTCTCACGAAGAATAACTTACGTTTTTTTTCCGTTTATTCCATGCAATTATAATTGTATTGCTCCATGAATAAATTACCATTTCAGTCAATTGTTTGACATTTATTCAATTTTGAAACTCGCGTTGGAAGCTAGTTTACTCACGAGCAATGAACGAGAAAGTACAATCAAGAAAAACAATGAATCAGATTTCTCAATAGCAGTCAATGATGCTTTTTATTATACCATGCACAGAAATAAATCGATCGATAGGTTTATTCTCAAAGACATATTTCATTGATTTGCATCTTGAAAAAAAGCACTTTATTTCCGCTTGACAAGTTATTCAGAAGCTAAGTCCGTTCTGAATTTCACTGGATTTGAAGGAAATGAAAATCAAATGAAGAAAAAATGGGAAATGTTGTTCGAACGGCATCTTAGCTTATCAAGCGGTTCAGCGTGATTTTACCATTGGATGAGTTCCTGTAATGAAAAGCATACATCAATCAAAATTAAAAAAATTACTCCATTTTCACTATTCCCAAAATTCACAAATCCACTCGCTAAAATCACAAACGCGCTACATCACTCATTCAATGAATCATTCAGAATGTAAAGGTGAAATTATTATATTAGGATCAGATCATACCTGAAGATGCGGAACGATGGAAGTGTTGCATCTCTAACAATTTTGAGTACGAAGTACAAATGTACGATCACGGCGCTCCATTCAAACTTGCAGTAAGAGCAGTTAAACTTTTCACGATATTTTGCGACCGCATAGTTCTTTTGCTGTAAAAATAATAGGAGTTTTTCAAACTTATTCCACGCACATTTGACAATGTTATTGATTTTCTGTGCGGCATTTTTCCACCAAAATTTATTTTTTCATATGCGAATACTTCTGATTATCACTAATTTGTCAAACAAAATTTGAATTAGAAGTCAAGGAGTTTTTCTTTGTAAGAAAAATTCCTGAAAATTTACTCACAACTTCAAACGGATGCACGCACGTACGGCAATTTTTGCAGTTATCCATTCCGATTGGCTCCATTGATGTGGTTGAAAAAGTGCGGAAGCAATTCGGGCATCGATAATACGAACAATATCGATCCATTTTGTTTGCGTGTTGATTTGACCAAGAACAAAACGAAACTAAGTGTATGCTCATTTATTCATGCAATTTCAGAGTGATGAATTCGGTTGACGTAAGAATAATAACGTGAAGAAAATGAAAGTACCGCTCAATGAGAATGAAGATGAAAAGAACGAAACGGCGACATCAACGAGCGAGACAGTTTACATTTATTTGTCGTTTATTTTAAACCAATCGCAAGCCAACAATTAACGATCGTTCACGAAATTGATGACAATTGAAAACTACCAAGACGAAAATTTCAAACAACAATTTCGACAGAGTTTTGACTTCCGATATTGTTTTCATGCGTTTCTTGGACTCTGGCTGAAAATGTTGGTTTGCTAAGCATTTTTATATCGAATGATGAATATAATTTCTTTGTTTAAAACAACTCGTCCAATATTTTTATTGAATGCCTTTTTTTGGAAACAAACATAAGAATACATTTCTTGTTCCATGCAAAACACGTGCAGTCGGCTACTTCATGGCGTATTTTCGTTTTTTATCTTCATTCTAGAGAGAAACGGAGGACATTTTACAACATGGTTTTGGTTTATTTGCGTGGTGTGGAGTGACTCACTTCTTTTTCGGGAAAATTGATGGCACTACATTTATTGGGGCAGACACGATTCTGGAATTATTAGATGTTTATCGATTCATATTGCTCGTTGCAACATCTACACGTGTAGAATGCATGCCACCGGTTTAACATGTTTCAAGGCGGATGGAATTTCTGTCGCTCTTTATTTCACCAAGAAACTATACCGAAATGAAGTTTTTATAAATTATCACTTGAAAAAAATTGAACTGAATACACCAACCTGT